TTTCTAGCTGTAGTTTTAAATGCAAGCTTTAATATGATTAAGGAAATATAAAATGTCTTATTTAATTTTTTTTAAAATGAAATATCGTTTTGCGGTAGTTCCCTTTATTTATAATAAAATGAATGACCGGAAAGATGACAGACTAACCTACTAAGCTATCATTTTCTACATCATCTTATAAGTGTGTTTTTTTTTTCTACATTCATCCAATAATTCCAACAACAACGACAGCAACAAAATTTCTATAATTTCCATATTCTTTTCAAATTTAACATAATTTGGAAAATTTCAACAATTTCAAAGACTACACGAAAAATGTAATAATCGTTTCTATCTTAATTAATGCAAATAATGAGTAAATAGAAATTGCAGCATTAAAATTATTTTCATCATTTCAAAAAGAACATTGATAATTTTTTTCTCTCACAGCAATTTTAAAAAATCAAAATTTAATGCTAACGCAAAAGATTCTGATGATTTGGTTATATCAGTTTCCAGACAACTTTTTTCCCTGCTTTTTTAATGTCATAGCAATTTTCAAAAATTAAAGCTTAATGCTAGAGATTCTATTTTAATTTTCTAGCAATCTTTTTTTGCCTTTCTTATGACATAACAATATTGAAAAATTAAAACTCAACATTAAGGATTTTGATGATCCGGTTGTTTTAATTTTCATATAGATGAAATTTTCAATTTCATCAGCTGAAAGATCTTGGCATCAGAAAAAAGATGTCACATTTAATAAAAAGTGCATTAATTAAAATACTGAGCATTTTTCTTTGAATCAAATTATGCAACAAAATGTTAACAATTCAGTCGTTTTTCTTTTGTTTTTTGTTTTTTTAACAAATTGAATTAAGTATACTTGAAATGATGGCTTTATTTTAACGAATGCAGTCGAGTGTACTTGAAATATTGGCAAGAGATATCCGAGGTACGTGTCGGCTGGTTAAATTGCAGCTTTTACAGTCTTAAGAATAAGCGATGTCATCAATCTCAGTTATCAACTTCATCATAAAGAAAAAATGCCTTTTCACTCCTCCGAAGTATTCATTTTCATTTTTCATTTACCTAAAAATATATGCTACTACTACTGACAAAAGAAAAAAAAAACGGATAGTTTTTGTTTAATTTATAGTCAACAATTAATCGAAATTAACGTTTATAATTTAAAATTATAAATCATCCAACTAAAATGAAGGATTTCTCGATGCTCAGTCGGTTTTTCATCAATCAAAGTTAAGGTTTATATTTTGAAAGATATCATTAGACGGTCCATTAATAACACAAAAAATATTGCAAAACATGGGCGATTAGAAGTGACGAATATTAGTAAGAATGAAATTATTTTACACTCGAAAATAACCTTGATAGAAAAAATCGAACGAAGAATTTGTTGAAGTGCTGATAAAAATTGGAACAGTGATAAGTTTGCTGATAATACTTGGAAGATGAATACAACTACGTATCAATACAGCAGGAAAAAAAAGCTCATCTTTTGATATTCTGCAGATCTCTTTGAGATATTATTTTGGATAATTAAACGTTATATAAAAATGACATATTCTATAGCAATCATTAGCTATTCCTTCAACAATTATTTCTTGTTTTCAAAAAATGATAAAATATCCTTCAATGCATATTGCAACATCAAAAATTTAACTTTTTTCAAATTGAAAAATATTCATTTCAAGTCAAAAGTATTTATCATCCAGTGGATATGGCACTTAAAATTTTGTTTCATATAACAAATTTCTTGAATCTTTTCTTATTTTTTTCTTCTCTTTTGTTAGTTTCAAATAAATTTAGCATGAATCTTTATCGTGTCCATGGCAACAACAAAAAGTATAGCGACTGGGGAAAAGAATTGAATTAGAATAGTTTTGTTGAATTCTTTTTTTTTTTTGGCTTATTTTTGAAAAAATAATTTTATGCAATCATCATCTTATTTATAACACTATTTTTTGAACCTTTTTTCTTTCCTTATCTTTTTTACAGTCAGTGATTTAACTGTTTATATTGCACCAACTAATTTAGAAATTAATTTAAAGAAAAATTAATTGATAATAATATGACAACTTGAAAAGAATGCAATGTGATAAGTAAGATTAATTATAATGTAGCTCTTATATCATTGAGTTTGATCTATATTAAGTATATTGGCTTACTGCACCAAAAAGTTTATGCTGACATCGGCTAATCGATGTCATAATGCGAGAAAAAAATTGTGCTACTTCAGTAACTGTAAAGAATTTCGAAGCTTTACGAAAGTTTGCTAGTGATTTACGGATGATTTTCATCAAACAGTAAAACTTCTATCATAAGAATGCATGCCAAAAGAAAATGTCAAAGGTCAGTGATTTCATCAGTTCACCATCAATTTATTGTGTTGAGTATTATGAACTTAAGAATATCACAAATGTAGCAGTAAAGTTTTTAACTGCAATATAATTGCAAGAATGTTATTTTCTTCACTAATCTAAGTGGTTTTGCATGATATTACTAATTGAAATGGATCATTCGAAAAATTTGGGAATTAGAACAATATTTTTCTGTAATTCAGTGAGAATTGCTTATATTTTTGTTTTTCTCTTGTTCCCTTTTTTTTTTTTAAAAAAAAAAAATGGAAGAATGAATAAACAAAATCTATAAACTGGTGGTAAAGAAAAAGTGTTGAAAATTGACAGATATTAGATTTTTTTCGATCAAAATTTTCTATTTATTTTTGTTCTTCATCCCAATTATCTTTTTCTGATCTCATTGATGAAATTGAAATAATATAAAGTTTGGGTTTTTATCTTTGAAAGTTATGATTAAAAAATTATTGTTTGAAAAGTGAAACATGCGTGGGAAGTTCTTTTTCTTATTAACACATCAGAAACATTGATAAATATTACTTTCCATAATAATATTATTAGGTTTAATTTTACTGTTAAAACCAGATGAATCATTTAATTATCTGTTGTAGCTGTCATCATCTTCAGCTGTGACAATAATATATAGAAAATCCGTGGGGAAGAAGAGGTGACACTACCGTAGAAAGTTCTAGTTTCGTTCAAAATCTAATATTCAGTAATTGGTCATTTAATTATGCATGGAGAAATTTCATTGCCTGTTTATGATTTTTTGTTCCCATTTTTTCCCTCAACACCACCATTTTTTTTCCTTTTTTTTTTTTTTTTTTTTTTGTCGAATTACAGTTCACTTCAATCTTTCTGATTAGTGTTTCACTTGTAATTTCTGTAACTGTTAACTAATGTCAAATGATAAATAGTGGAAGTTATGACCAAACAATGGAAAATAAGTGTTTTACGTGAGCTGTATAAATCCGAATAAATCCGGAAAAATTAACTACTCAAATGCTTTGCTGTTTTTGAAGGAAGTCTGAAATGATGGATTAGTTTCAAATAATATAATGAAAAAAGAAGAAAAATTCTGTTTGATTAAACATTCAATGGAATCATGAATAGCAAATTTTGTTTAATAATTTATCATTAGTAATTTACAATAAAATATTATCAATATTCGTATACATTTATAATAATTTTATAATGAGAATCCTAAAAAAAAATTATTTCAGGTTAATGAAAATAATGACTACGTTATGAATATATTTTTGAAAAGCATTAAGTAAAGTTAATTAGATGAGTTACGCAGTCATAAATAAATTTAATATTTGTAACTGTCAGCAGTGACTCATTTGATCTCATTTTTTAAAATTATTATTAAGAAAAATTTCAGTGTAAAAGAAAAGAGTATATCAAATAGAAAAGAAAAGCCTTTTAATTATCCGAGAATACTAAAGCAAACATTCAACAAGAATGCTAATTGAAACTGTTGTAACTCATCGACTATCTGCTAACATATATGTCATTCCAAGCCAGCAATTTCATAGTTTCTGGTTGAAGCAGTTGATGTTAAACAAATGAATCTCTAAGATTAAATGCAAATTTATAGCGATTCATTCACTTTATAATGTTGTCAATGTCTTTTTTTTACGTCTTGTTTCGGTTTCTGTTTTAAAATCTATATTCTAAAATTTAGAGAAATAGCAAATTTGTCATATCTTTATGCTTTTTTGAGATTGAATTTGAGGATTTTGATTATTCCATAAAATATTAATGTTTACTCCAACTGACTGTCAGGAGAGGAAAAAGAGGTAGAAGGAAGTGGACATTATTCACTTTGACCAGTATAAATTATCGTCTCATAAAACTAGCAATCCACGAATTCGAATTAGCTTTTATGTGAAAGGTTTGAATGTAAAAAATTTGAGAGATTGAAATTTTGCACAATCATTTTATGACCATACATTTTACTAAAGAGTATGTATTTGAGTAATGTAGCCGGCCTCCTTACTAATTCTACGCCTTTATTTGCATTCATATAAGCTCATTCACTCCTGCCTTTTTAACAATTTTCAAGTTCTCTCTTGTTTTTATTTTCCTGTATTTTTTCATCAGAAATTTCCTTGGGGTCATTCACTTTCCGAATCAATTAACAGTAAATCTTACATTTAACTTTCATGATTTCTTCACAAAAACTTTTATTTCGAATTTTCATTAAATAATGTTATTCATTTTTCAGTTTCTAAAAAATTTCATTTAAGAAAGAAGATACTATTAGAATGATTATACTAAATTATACACTCCGGTTAATCCATTTGTAGAGGAATAAAATTGTATCATAATATCTCAATTGTTATCATTGAAATGATTTCAGCTTGTCCGCTATTTATTTATTTTTTTGCTGGTTTTTTGTTTATTTTATTTCTCTTTTTTTTGTCGCTGTTATTTTGCTGTTGATGAAATACATTTTAGGAAATATGAAAACCACTGTAGTTTTAAAGTATTAAGCTTATATATACACTTTGTTGTAAATTGTAACATATTTCAGCGTTTTTATTCGTCCCAACAAATGTGGTAGGAATTCTTTGCAGGATAAAGCAAAAATGTAATCAAGGAAATACTGCATGGCAAAAAGAAGCAAAAAAATTTAAAATGATTGGAGAACTGTTCGATTCTGATGGAGTGACAAGGGCAGTAGGAGGAATTTATATATTCATTGGAATTACTGGTTCATTATGCAATGTGACAACACTGCTAATGATTACATGCTGTCGAATGTATCGTTTATCAGCCTATACTATTATGGCTAATCTTGCATTAGCTGATGCTATTATGCTCATTGTTGCTGGTCTCGTTTGTGGTCTCAATATTATTCAAGTGCCTTTTCTAAATTACGACAATACTACCAATAATTCCACTGAAATTCTAAATAGCAGTAATTTTATGACTGATCCTATAAAAATAGTTGGAATTAAAAGTGAATTGTATAATGTAAACAGGAGTCAATTCAATACACTTTTGGAAGATTTGCATTTTTCCGTATTTTTATTATCATTCCTTGAAATAGCTGCTTGGACGGCAGGAATAATAAGTCACGCATTGCTGGGTATCAATCGTTGCGTTGCAATTTGCTTCTATCGTACTCGTGCTAAAACAATTAATCGAGTGTCATTTGCGCTTGTTGGCTCTACAATAACATGGCTTATCGGCATTATTGCAGGTTCATCCATCATTTTCAATAATCATTCCACGTGAATATTAGACGCAATTTCAAGCATCCTGAATTACATTCAAGTATGCAGAGAAAATGAGAGCGAAAAAACGAAAAAAGAGAAGACTATACCGTCAGAAATAATTATCAAATTTCAAACTGACTTTTAAAACAGTAAGCAGAAAAAATATAAAGAAATTTTAGACAGCTTTTTTAGCTTTCAAGTAGCATAATTTCCTCTGGCATCTTTGATAAGATGATATATAATGGGTTACTAATGAGAAATGTGCATTTTAATGTTTGATTATCTTCTTCGTAGATATGAAACTAATTAACCTATCTCTTCAAACTTCAGCTTTTTAATTCTTTCTTTATTCTTTAAGTAATAATTTAGCTTTTAGCTTATATCGGAACAATGCCTGTGCCACTGATGGGCATGCGAACTGATATGTGGACAGTGAGCTTTTTGAATACAGCTGGAAGAAGGCCGGGTATACTTTCTCATATTTCACTTCTCCTTTGAAAGATATTTGGAAGAAAATTGGTAAAAGTAGCTTCACGACTACCTTATGAAAAATAAAATTTTTCTTGTTTGATTAGAATCAAAATCTGCAAATTTGAGTAGAACTTTCGTCCGAAACGGAATTAAAATAGCAGATATCTCTTCATTTGAAATTATTTTCATGTCATTTAAAGAAAGAAATGAACTATAAAATATGACAATTTATAGCAGTGTTCATGGTACTTGCATTATCTTTCAATTTTGTCAGTATCTTAGCGCAATGGTCATGTTCTTTAATGGTACTTATAAAAATATACAAAGTTCGCCATAAAATTAACTGTAACAAGTTGAACCTTGGCAGTGCTAAAAGATTTAAAAAACAGGTGAGCTGTTTCTATTGTAACATATTAGACATATTAAAGATATTTTTGACAGAGTAATATTACTAATATTATTACTACAATAGCTGCATGTATCATTAAATTTGATCGGTTAGAGGAAAACAGAATTGTTATGTTACGCTGATAGAACTTGTAAATGCATGCGTAACTGCAACTGTTATTTTTTATTATTTTGTTATTTTTTAAAAATTTAATCAGAAGCAAAAATTTTTTTTTTCAGGCTCGTTTAACATTTCAGTTTTTTTATCCATCTCTCATTTGTACTATTTCATCTATTATATTCTTTGCTAAACCATTCATGACTGATATATTGACCAGTTGGCAGTTTGTTTTTCTACATTTGGTAAGATAATTTTGTGTTTAATTAACAGCTTCTTTTGTAAGTGGTAAGGCGTAACTTTGTAACAATAACTGTAATTAATGTTGAACAAAAACCTTAAGTAAAGTATTCCGCCTAATTTACCTGCTAATAAATTGAGCGATGATTTGGAGTGCTTAGTTTTAATTAGTCAACATTCAAGCTTTGGAAGTTATTCAACTTTTCATGAAGCGATGTGGTTTCTCACAGCAGTTCCAAGTACTAAACTTTGCTATTGATTATTTATAGCTCTACGAATATTAAGGTAATTCTAGTTCGTAGTAACCGAAAAAATTATTAGAATCATTGCTGGGTATAACATATGAAGTATACTATTTACAGATTTGGTTGTGTAATCATATGTGTAATCCATTTATCTATGCATATTTCAATGAACGTATGCGTTTAACCTATGGTCAATGGTTGACATGCGCACCTTTGCGAAAATGTATCAGTAAATTGGAGAAGCAATATTCACGAAAACACGGAAAACCTTTACGAGTATCAAAGTAGAATCTTAAAAAGATTTAAATTAGAATAAATGATAATGAATTTTCTAAAGTTGTGACAGTGACAGAGATAAAGCAATTTAATCTGATCTAGATTTGATCAAATAACAAGACTATTCTTGAGCAAAGAGAGAAAGATAAAAGAAAGCTGAATTATGATCTAAACAGAAATAGTGAATCGAAATGTATTTGCGATGTATTGTAGGCGACTGAATGCAGCTGCATCAATGGCAAGAAATGCATATTGGCGTGGTCGAAGTAATCGAAGTGATAATTTTGTACGGTCAAGCTTGCAGATGCAAAGTCGTGATTTTGAACAATTTTGTGAAGTGATGATGAGCGTTAATACCGCAAATGAAAGCAGTGAAGGATGGACGGAAAGTAGCAGTGATACGGAAGCAGAACCGGTTACTGCAGCAATTTGTGCAGCACCACAAACATCATCACGACGTAGCAATGCTGCAAAAGGCCTGGAATTGCATTCGCTTGTTTTTGATTTGGGACGTCAAACAGTAGAACATTGGGCTAATTTTGCTAAGAAAGCAAGCTTTTGATATGCTACACATCGTATCATTATAATAGCAAGCTTATCCCAGATTTCCGGTTTTCTGCTATCCACAATATTGAATGTAAACTGATTAATAGGAAAGGAGGAAGGATATTGGGATCAATAAGTGCCTTATCGTTAAGCAGCACATTGATGAGCTCTTTGTCATATCCTTCCTTATCACTATCTATTCTATTATGCACAGCTTAGCCAGAATTATGTTCATCAAATTAAAGTCAAATCTACTGAATAAAAGTTGCATTTATTGAGTGAGAATTGCACTTAATAAAATTTAATTCATCAAATACAAATTTATTCTGACAGTCTACCATAATGTGGTAAGATGTTCAGTTTCATGAATGTTGCACAGTATGGCGGGTATTTTAAAGTTTCAAACATATGATGTTATTGCCAAACAGTAAAATGCTGCTGTACGGTACAGTTAGTCGAAGATTTCCGGTGCATTTGTAAAATGCTGAAAAGGTGATCGGGTTTTGTACAGAAAATTAGTTAGCACACATGACTGTTATACTTGAATGATAATTCGTGATGTGAATGTTTCTTACATAAGGAAAAGAGAACATTTGAGACTCCCAACCATTTATCAGATCAGAAAAAAAAATTCTAAACTTGTAGGAAAGCACCATATCTTTACTTCTGATTGTAGTAGTTTAGAAGTCGCAAATTTCAGCCTTACGGCTTGGGTATTACCGGATTACGTGGATGTACGTATTTTTAAAAAATATATATTCGATTAGTTCAGTACGAAGCAGATAATCATCTCACATCAACAAAATTCTGTTCTTCAGTGAACAGGGAATAAACAAATCGAAAACACATAGTAATGATTGTTGTCTGTTCATTTTTTTTTTCCGTAGGTTTCTGCTGTTTTATTCAGAATACAATTTCCTGATTTGAAAAATTTAGAACAGGATTGTATCACTAAGTTGGAATTCAATAAAACTGATAATAACACTTTTTTGCAGTGCTGGAGCTATCTGATAAGGAATCTGATGATTCCAAAGAGAATCGTTGGGGAAGACGTCAATTCAGTATGTTTACTAACTTTTCATCCATTTGGCTTATAATTCCTCATTCTGGTCATGTTTTTACTGCTGTGTTTATGTTCATGTGCATGCTTTTCCTAGATGATAGTATACAAGAGTTTCCTGATAATCCAAATGACATATGTATCTCTTACCGCATATTGTCTTTTCTACCTGATTATTGGCTTTTTATGGCTAGGTCAATTTTTGTTTAATTTATATTCAAGACGTTTGTACTTCCGTAACATGCATGTCTGCATATAGGATTTAGCCGCATATGCATTAGAACTAGCTACTGATCAGTCTAATGCTCTTCAATCCAAAATGCTTGTTGCTAATGACTGAGAATAATATGAACTTTGATATTAACTTTGCTGTTTGCACTAATACATTTTTTAAAACCAGTGAAATGAATGTCGTTAATAGCTACCGATATTAAAATTTCTGATACATAAGTTTTCAATTGCAAAGATAATATTTTGCTGTGCAAAATTATATATTTAGTTCATTTTCAGATGTTGGGAAACAGGAATGTTTCATTTGTAGGAAGCTGGAAGAATCTGAAGATGGGGAATTTGTTCGTTGCCCCTCAACTAGTATTGAAAATGCAGCCACTACTGATGAAGATGCTTCTGATTTCGGCAATAATAAAATTAGAAAATGCAGTTTCTCATCATGCACTTTGCGATTCCACGAAAACTGCTTTTTGATTTTTACAGAAGGTTTTTATTGAAACTATCCAAGCTTTTTACTACGGGAATCCTCTATTTGTTCAGAGAAACAATGTAATTGCTTTCATTCCACTAACAGTTTTTATATCTATTTGTTCAGGTGACTTCCTGCCAAGAATTCATATATTGGACAGACATGGTGATCTCTGTATTAATTTAAAAGACAGTAAAAAGTGGATATGTCCTCAACATGAATGCAACTTTTGTAATCAAGAACTTCTACGAACACGAGCTTTTCTAGGTAATCTTTTTTTTTTTTTTTTGCGGACTGCGTGCTCACGAAGAGGCATATAATTAGTTTCTAGGGAAATTTATACAATGCGTGAAATGTGTGTTCGCTTGGCATCCTTCTTGCGTCATAGTCGGTTCGCTACATATGGATCGAAAACGTGATCGCTATGTACTTTGTCCCAGGCACAGCACTGTGAAGCGTGCGTCAAAACGGAATATTCCATACTGCGTTAAATGTGAAAATCCTTTCGGTAAATTTTACATTAAAGAGAAGGAAAGCATTGAAGAACATATTGCCGAAACCACTAATTAAACTAATTATAACAAAACGTTTCGTGCTTATGGATTCTTATATTCTTTTGTAGAAAATGATTCTCAAAAAATGGCATGTAAGTCTTGCATACGTTCTTTTTGCCATAGCTGTGTTGCTGGGAAAAATAAAATCAAAGATGTGAAAGCAGAAAATTTTGAATTTGTGTGCGATTTTTGTCGATGCTTTGACTTCCCGAGAATTGGTGACTACGTTCTGGCAGCTTACAAATCCAAGTAAAAACCTTATTTTTTTCGTTTTTTTTTTCGAAATAATTCCGCAAATTCAAATTAAAAAATGTAATTTTTTTGAATTGTTAACGAAACATTTCCGAACATCTCTCATATAGATTCCGAATATTGTGAGTTTTGCGAATGTGAAATATGTTAAATCATTTTGATAATTTGTTTCGTTTAGTCTTATCTTTCAGTTTTTGGCCCGCAAGGTCTCTTCATGCTGATTTATTGCCAATATCGTTATATTCTATGAATAATTTGTTTGGAAAACTTCGCGAGGTATTGATATTTTTTTGTTCCCATGTTTCACAAGTGAGAATTATGTTATTCACCACATCGCTTTGTGCTTTGTGAAAGGTTTGCGGCTTCCTTATAGATCCGTCATGTATCTTATTGTTTTTATTTTAGCCGGGCTATGTACTTATACAGTGGGTTGAGGGATTGGATGTTCCAAATTATGATGTCGTAACATGTAGGGACTTGGTTCCACTTCCAAAGACACTGAATTGTTCATTTTGGAAGCGCATGAAGGCACATTCAAAGATTTACAAAGGTTTTTTTTTTTTTTTTTTTCAAGACTATATATGCATGTGATATTAAGTGATACTAAGAGATTGTTATGGAAACAGTGCTGCATAGTATTCATAGTGAAGCTTGAATTATATTATGCGTTTTCTAGAGTCTTATAACTCTTTGAGCTTCATGAAATCTCTTTAAAATGCAGGAGGTATAATACACTTTTTTCTTTGGTTTTTCCAGACTATGAATTTTTTATCACTACGGTTGTACTGTGTAAATGTTGATTAAATAAATGGAAATTTAGCTGCTGAAGCTATATACGCTAGTTCGAAAGCAGTAGTTGGTATCAGGCGTCCACTTCCACAAGAAGTTAAGGCATCAAAGTATACGAGAATTAAGGTGCCTTTTAAATCAAATATTTCTAGATTCTGCACATTACACTGTTTCATTTCTTTATGTTTCATGAGTGTAATTATTCAAAAACCAAAAAAGAAAAATTTTCTAGGAAACAACTTGTTAGGATAGTGAAAGACTAAGAGGGATAGCTGAAGTTACACAATTTTAGAGGGATTTTGAACTGTAATTATGGTGTCAACTTAATACAGAAATATAGTTGTATCATGAACTTCAGACAAATATAAATATGCGCTTAGCCAGAGCATTATCAGACACAACGGAATTAGGTCACTGCAATTGCGAACCTATCAATGGAATGCGTTGTACTGTTGCCCACAATTGCTTGAATCGAATCTTGATGACAGAATGTCCTGAGGTTATTTTCTATTTCTTTTCTAATCAATTTTTTTCTTATTAAATCATTAGTGTTGATTTTGTAGCACATTAAGTGGCACTATGAATTCTTCGAAGTTTTGTTAAAAATGTGATTATAGGATTGTGATTCAACTTATTTGGGGAAGCGGAACGCACTTGTAGGCGGTACAAGGCGACAGATTTTAAAAAGAACTACAAAACTGGTTACCAGTGAAAAATCCCTTTTACCATCACAAAAGATGTGTACAAATAATTTTTTGCGGCATCATGATACCAATGATGATAATTTATTTATGGAGGAAAAACCAACTATGTTAAAAGGATTTGGTGCCTTCGCGAAATGTGATATTGATAAAGTAAGGCATCAAATAAATAGAGTGTGGTGTTCTTAGTTCAAAACGTAAAACTTATTAGCTTTATCAAAGCTTAGAATTTATTGGTTTTATTTCATCAGTAAATAATTCAAAAATGGCGAAATCATATATTTGTTTGTCTTGATCGAAACATGCAACCATCTTATTGCCGCATTTCAGTAGTTTGTTAATTAGATCGAAAAGAAGGAAACAGATTTTTTTTTAAATTGCATATGAAATATTGCAGAAACAAAACCATCTTTAGTGCAGTCTCTTTTAGGGTATTGATTTAACCGAATATGTTGGGTATGTGATGACGAAGGATGAATACTTAGAAAAATTGCGGTTTCGTTGTTTATTTAATGATTTGGAGGCGTCATATTTTGGGATGCAATTGACAAATGATTTTTACGTGGATGCACGAAATTATGGCAATATTGCTCGGTCGTTCAACCATTCATGTGAACCGAATACTAAAGTAGATGCTGTGGTGGTATGTACCTCCATTTACTGTCTGGATTCTTTTACTGCTTAATTTATAATTGTCGTAGTTTTGTTTCTTTGCAGGTTGATGGAATTTACAGACTCAAAATTTCGACAATTAAAGATATCAAAAAAGGTACTCAGTGATTTGAATTAATCGTGTCATTAAGATTTCATTAAAATTTCAAGTACACTTGAACCACTGTATTTTTTAAATATAGTCACTGAAATTTTTTTTGCATTATTTTTAGGTGAGGAGTTGACCTTTGATTATGATACGGAGATTATTGAAGGCCTTGTGGGCATGGAATGTTTCTGTGGTTCTAGAAACTGTCGACGCATAATTGGGGTAATTGCTTTTTACTAAGCTTTTTTTCTTGCGCTTTTACCATATAAGTAGAATTAAATTTTCAGAAAAGAGCAAATACAACACGAAAAACTACAAGTATAAAAGATCTTTCTGTGTTGAACCAACACGTCATTGATAATAATAACACAGCGAAGAATGTTCAGTCGAAAACAACCCAGTTGAAGAGTTACAATGAAGTAATATTTGTTTCCCATATCATGGAAGAATATCCTTGATTTTCCTGCTCATTATGAATAATTTTCAGATTTGTGAAAGCAGCGATCATCTAGTGCAGGAATATGTGCAAAATAAGCGAAGCAAATACTCTGATGAAAACAAAGGTGCAAGAAAAGAACAAGCTTGTAAAGTTTCATGATAATTCATTCCGTTTTGGGGAATTTCTGGTCCCTTCATGTATTGACTTCTGACTTATTTTGAAAGGAATCCTACGACAAACGTCTTTAGTTATTCACATATGGTGTTCTGATATATTTTGTAATTGAATGCAATAAGGTAATGTTGTTTTGATATGAACTTTTCAGATTTCGTGGAAAGCAATGGTGAAAGAAAGCAGCAACTACGGAAATTACAGACATGTAAATTTTTGTAATTTCAGCACAAAAAATGTTTTCTGATGACTTTTTCTACCTTGAATCCATCATATAAATAACTTGCAGTTATTTCTGAGAACGTGAAAAGAAATGGAGCTGAAAAGCATTTATGCTCAGGAAAAGACCTGACAATTGTTAATGTTTCTGTGAAAAATGCTCATTATCAATCAAGGCAACAAAGTTGACTGGTTGAGTTAGAGGATGAATTTCTTGGAAATTCTACTGCAGAGCAACTGGAAAGAGAAAGAAGTGAATATAAGAACAAATTCCTTTCTTGAAATGCTAAACTATAGGTATCGATTTAATTTGTCTTTCCACTTGAACAATGCTCTTGGAGATTTCTTTGTTTCGTGCTTGACTTTATTCGAAATTATTCATTTTATTTAATGAATTTGTCAAGGCTCTGTGTTAATAAGCGATAACGAACTCCTAGAGGTTCATATTACACAGATAGTTAAAGATAAAAAAAAAAAAAAAATGGAAAGAAAATGGTTTATTGCTAATCCCATTAGGTTTGTTATTTTAAATGTATGTGCGTATTCATTTTATTTTAAATATGGTTTTATTGCATAAAAAATCGCTTTCCTTATCTTCATTAATATATTCCGGTATTGTTTCGTTTTATTTCTTAAGTTTTCTATTAAATTTGTTTCTATATTTTCATCTACTTTACTTTTATTAAATTTCTGCACGTTGTCTAATGGCTAGATTTGAACAAACATTGCTTTGAACATGAATTAAGACTGTTAGTTAACATCGAGATAACTCTTGTTTTTTGTTCTGAATTTTCTCTAATTCTTGTGGTTTATTGTCTTAATTATCATATGAAATCTATTTATTACTTTATTTGTATTGTTTCAGGTTGTGCATTTATGCGATCTAATAGTCTTTTCGTAATATTGCTCTTTTTCTGAACTTAGAGTGATTTTTGAAATTATTCTTGAAATATTTATTTCGATCGCTATTATTATTCTGTTTCTGGGTTATAATATTTGAAATTTAGCGTGACATTTGAATTCATGTGCATGCAGTTTTTTGGTGCTTATTTGGTTCACCATGTCTTTCTGATATGAAAATATAACTTTCCTGCATGCATATTGGTGAGGAAGCACTGAACTTGAGTAGATTTTTTGCAAAGGTAGTTTATTAACTCGATGTTTACATAGTAGTAGATGTATGTGGGTAAAGCGTACAGCGAATATTATTCGAATAAACATTACTTTGAATGAGGAACAGACTTGACAAAGCAATAGTCTATAATTCATCTGTGTTGGATATTGTCCTTTAACCGATCATTTTTTTTTTCAGCAGTGTTTCTTCATGCGATTCGGCTGAAAATGTCAGCAATTTTCCTTCATTTTGTTCGACTGCTGAAAATATCAGCAATCTTTAAATTGTTTTTTAAATTTGAAGAAGAGGTACAAACAAGAAAAAAATTTCTAATGACTCATAAACAAACTAATTTGCTCCTTTGCCTTTGTAACGTGGGTAATTTGACTGTTTTTTGATCTCTTCGAATTTTATGCTCCCAGCGGGCATGTAATTCATGTTGCTGGGTTAGTATGATTTTTTGTTTTTTGGTTTAAAGGCAATAAATCTTACCTTTCAAATTTGATTCAACTGGAGCAAGCCCAGGATGGATATCATGTTTCATCCATGGAAGCTGTAAAGAAGAGAGCTAGTGAATATCTTCATTTTGATTTGTATAAAGTTTTTTTTCCACAACTTTGCATTAAGGATATGTTTAAATGCGTGAAAAAACAATGGTATTCCAAATCAAAATTTAATTTTCTCTCCTTTTACTCTCTCTTTTTACATCACTTCTAATGTTTGGGGTATTAATAATAATTGATTACTAAAGCTAATTTCTTTATTGTAAAACTTGACAACATCAATTTGGTGTCGACATGTTTCCTTCTAACATATTGAAGTTGTATATCATAAAGTACAAAGCTTTTGAAGGAATATCATCCAACAAGAAGTGATATTTTGCTTACGAAGGAATTAGAGATAACCTTACCAAATCCAACCAAGTATATACTGTGAATTGAAATTTATGGGAAAATAGAAAGACATTGTGTCATTATAGTTCCTTGCAAAGCGTTCAGATTACTTTAAATAGTTGTGATCTTGTACTTCCTTCGTTTATTATTTATAGAATAAGCCACAGTATATATCGTAAATCTTGCGGATGGAGAGATTAGTGGATAAATATATGGCATGATTTAAGAATTTAACCTTCGATACAGAATTCAATTACTGGATTTATTAAAAAAAGAAATACCATAGATGAGTGTTCTTTAAATTTTGATTCCCTTTTTCGGTGTATTTTATTACTCAAATTAATTGCCGTCTCATTTTTTCCATCTTTATCATCTTCCTCACTGCTGCTACTACTGTGTTTTCTATCTTTCTTTTGCCCCACCTTATACTCTCGTTCGTATCCTGTAAAGTTTGCCGTGATACCTTCTAATACTAACAATGATTATTTACTTGTATTTTAAAGTAATTAGTAATAAATTTTTGAAATATCAATGCACATATAAAAATGATTAAACAAGAAGGCACGGGATGAAATCAACCAAACATTTGAGTCAACGCCAATTAATTAAACTTTCATACCATGGCTCTTGTCTTTTCTCTGCCTATCTTCATCATCATTTTCTGCAAAACCTGCAATTAATCATGTTTAACTATATTTTTATTCCTGAATTCCAATACTCATTTTAAAATGAAAAAAAAAAAAACTCCACCTGAGGAGGATGAAGTGAATTCCGACGTATTGCCTCGATCAACTGTCTTTTTTCGGTTACTCTTACTACGTGCTGCATCTATCTGCCATAGCAATACACCAATTACCAATGCCACAACAATCATTTTAATATTCATCATAACGTTGCACTGCAAATATTCACTCTCATAAAAAAGAAATTGCAAATCACTTCAGTGCTGTACACTTGTTTTTATAAAATGAATTAATAAAACAATGAATTTTATTTGCCATAAATTAGAAAAGGATATTTGTAAGTACTTACAAATTTTTTTTTTTGGAAAAGAAAAAAAAAAAAAAATCAACAACTGAAAAATAGAATAAACAGCAAAGGAGTCTTAAACATTCCGGATATATCGCTTTAGAATATTGATAACGTAAAACATAACAATTACTTATACAAGATACTTTTTGATGAGAACATAAGTTTGTAGATAATAAATAAACGCTGAAATGGAACAATGAAAGCTCCATATTCCACAAATTTCTAATAGCTGCATTATGTTTACTTACTTACCATAAAATTTTCCAGCTAGCTTATTTTTAATTTAATTCCATTTAACATATGAAATATATAACTAAATATTTAAAGAAAAAGAATCATTTAAAAAATTTCGTTATTGTATTTGCACCATATTGACCTCGTTGAAGAATAATAAAATACACTTTATTATTTGTGATTTATTTAAGGCTTTTTTTTTTTTTTGGTGGGAGGAAAGGGGAAAAAAACTCTGACAATATTTCACTTAAATATTAATTGAAATACTGCTTCAAGTAATTTTTTCTTGGTAAAGGTATTTTGCTTCTGAAACATGCATAAAATATCAGTTGTTGTGCATTTATCAAACATGAACAAACTTTTGGAAAAGATATCACAATGAAAAAGTAAAAAAGTAAATTATTTTTACAAATCCCTAAAAGTTACCATCATCCAAATCTTCATTCAAGCAGTGAAATAATAGGAAATATAAATAGGAGACATTATTAGCAAACTGTGTGTGCTATTCAGTTTAAAGGATAAATGATAATGAAATCAATTCGAAAAAAACAACTGCTTCGATTAGAAACGAAAACCATCGTTTCTTTAAAGAAAAGACTGTTGATAAGTGCTTTGAAATAACAGCTCCAATGATGAACGATGAGTAATGAACAATGATAAATTACAATTCTATGGCACATACATACATATATACTTAGCAGTTATCCCCAAGTTGAATTTCTAGAATTTTTAGAACATTTTATAATTTTAGTCACGAACATCAAGTCTTCCTGCCCATTTCACAAGCAGACGCAACTGACCCAAACAGCACTACTTCAAGTCCATGTTAAGCAACCAGTCTCTGTGTTCGTTTTTTTTCTTTTTTTTTTCTAACGAAACTGCCATCATCGCAGTCATAATGTAAAAGCTCATGAGTCACTCTAAATAGGTATACCTAAACTAAACTCTACTGCATAAAATTGATTTATAAACCGGCACAAAACTACCAACTCATTAAGGCCCTCACTTCCTAAAATAATTTGCTTTCTCAGAAGATGAGGACCTTCTCCACCTTATACTTCATTTTATCAAATACTATCACTTTTATTTATCGCCAAGTGCTCGTTGCCCTACTTGCATACCTTTTTATATGTCAGTTTGATTTTTACTGCCACAATTCGGACAAATTTTTCATTATATAATTACTGAAAATACCACAAAAAAGCATTTAAAACATTTCTTCACACTGCGCATGAATCATATATTCACATCAAAAAATGAAAAAAACTGCAGCTTGCTCAATCTTATTTCCGAAAAAACAAAGCACGCAGTTTTTTCCATATAATAAAATTTTTTCAATGCGATCGAAATAACACAAATTTTTAAAATTTATAAATTTGCAATTTACTACTTTCAGTTTAATAACTATTTCCATGGGACACCAGAAATGAGAGATCTTGGTAACTAAAGCTTATCGCTCTTTCTTCGTTTCTGTATTATTTTGAACTGTTTCAGCCGGGGTCTGTAGATCATTATTACCGGGTGGTTTGGCATCCACCAATTGCTTTTGTGATTCGTTTTCGCCAGTTGGATCTTCCAGCGAAACTCCATATTCGTTCACACGTGTTGGATCAACTCGATAAATCCACCTTTGATAAATATATATCTGAACAGAATAAGAAAAATAAATATAAATCTTTTTTCACAGATTATATATGCAAAAAAAAAAAAAAAAAAAAGAAAAACGAGGTTAAAAAAGAATTAAACAATTAAAAAGACATAGTGATTCGTAAGGAAGTTCTGAAATATTAGATATATTTCACGTGTTGTCTAAGTAAGCTCAAGTCAATTTGGTTTTGAAAATTTATCTAAAAAGGATTCATACTACGTGTGTAAATGACTGGGACAATGTATTTCTTTTTAAAATGTTAGCAACCAACCAAAAACACAATATCATCTCGAAAACATCCTAAACGATACATTGTTGGCATTCTGATGACAAAAGCAAAGAGATCATCGATGAACGTATTGATGAATTTGTATGTTAACATGCGCCAAGGCAAATGAGCCACAGATTTTAACTTATAATTTATAAAAAGCTGAAATATGCAACGTATATCTCATTCTTCTTCCAGAGTTAAATTAAACAAATATTTAGAAATACAGACCAAATGTTTTCGTAAAAAAGATGTGAATTTTTGACTGCACTGAAAGCCAACCTGTGGTGTCATCATAATAAATCCAAATGTTAGTAAAAAGCTATACAGCATGCTTAATATCCAACTATACCAACCACGTTGTTCGACATATATGAGAGAATATACTGCATAACCACCAAGCAATGGAAAAAGTACCCATGACAAATATTTGAAGGCTAACTAAAATTATATCATGAAAGATTTGATGGCGCAACACCAGATATCAATATATCCAAAAAAAATTATCATACCAAACTTTTGACGAGTTCTGTAGGCATAAAAATCTCAATTTTCCTTTTTACAAAATACTTCGAATCTTCGTTTCAACAAAATTACCACTAAGAACAAAGTTAAATATGCCATCGAAAAAGCAAGTACAGCTATGGTTACCATGATAAACTATAACTAAACAAACTAACCTGGTCATACTGTTTTGTATCTGATTCAACATATGATCCCTTATCAGTAAATATGATCTTTGGCAAGAACCCAAATAGTTTTTGGGTCTGATCAACCTTAAATGGTGGTTTTAGGTCCTGAATATCAAGTAAACAAAGTAGGCAAAGCTGATTGCGTATAATGAATATAATACTACAATTGCCAAATAAAATTTTTTACAGAAAACAACGATTTCAAAATATATAACATCTGTAAATTGTGAAAGTGAAAATCAACCATACATTTATATTGACACATTTCGGTATTTTCCATAGTTCAATCACCAAACCAACTCCAACAGACATTTTGATAATCCATGAAGTATCGTTATCACAAATATACAAAAAAACAATGACAGACTGGAACACGCTGAATAAAACTGAACGAACAGATAGGCCCTGCAAAACAAATTTTAACATAAGTAAAAAAATATGCAATATTTTACAAAGACTTAGGGATTCCGCAACAGAAAATTCTCACAAACCTCCAAGCTCTTTCGTGATCTCCAAAATTGGATATCATTTTTGAAAGCCAAAAACTCGAAAACGGTATGCAACAACGAAACAGTAATTGTCAGTCCTGAAAACAGAATTTCCTACAAATGACCCTCCAAAAATGGATTAATAAAATAACGGCACACTTCTAAAATGAAATGACTAACCAAGCAATACTGGGCTTGTTTCGAGAAGTGCCTGTTTGATTGAGTCCTGGTCATCATCTCCATCTTCAAACAATTCACCACCGAACATCTGTGACCACTTCCCGCGCATCTGCAGGAAAGCAGTTAGTAAAAATTGTTGAGAAATAAAGTTAAGAAAAAAAAAAACCTCAGCAAAACAGAGATGGAATGTAGGTTGAAGGACTGACGTTCAAAACCAGTTATAGCTTTGAACGTTAATGCTCACCATACTTTTTAGCGCTTTATGCAGGCCAAACAAAAATTTTTGAGTAGCTGAATAAAAGCGCGGAAACTCGTTCTGCAGACTTAATATTATAATGTTTCACAGATTTTTCTCTACCATGTAAAACTAACCTGCTGGGATGCGTATAATTGCCATTTAAATAATGATATTGGTGCATACCGAACTGAGAGTTTTAGTTCTTCAACTGAGCTATTTATTAATATATAATCGGCCGCTAAGTTCCAATAGTCGTTGAAAAAGAATATGGGCTTGTAGGTGTTGTCAATAGGATCAAACTTTACAGCTTCATCAAGGGGAGATGGCAAAGAACCTGCAAAACAGATCGCTAATAATGAACTAATTAGAAGCGAACAAGACAATTTGATTAGTATTTACAAACAATTTCATGCAAATTTTTATAAAACCATGATTTTTTTAATGTAGTTCAAAAAAGTACCTCTTTGCCATGCCGTCTGATCATCGACAAGACTAATCGTTAAATTTGGGTGCCAATAATTGAGTACTTCAAAACTCATCACTTCAGCCTTCTTTTGTTCTTCTTCAGTCTGTTCTGTCTTACCAGTAAGTAGATTTTGTGTCCTTTTATAATACTTCTTCTTGTATTTATTAAGTTGCCGTACATTATACAGCACCTGAAAACTATAAACAATGAAATTATTATTAGCTTAAAAAAGTATAGATGACGTACAGCATCCTAATATATTTCATAATATCACACTTATTTTAACCTTGAAAACGACAAAATATGTTTAAAAAATTTGATTCGACTAGAATGAAATATTGTTGACATAATCAAAAAGTAACCTCTCTTTTAACATGAAGGCGACTTCTACGATCAGGTGACTGATCTTTCTTTACAATGAATACATGTATGTATAACGAGCCATTATTAGCAAGCGATTTGGGAGTGGGAAATGTAGCTGATTTAGTACGTGAACCATCACCATCTGGACCAGATGTCCAATCACTATATGTCATGCCGGTTTCTTTCCAAAACAGCGCACTTTCGTCATCAAATTCATCGAATTTATCCTGCTGAAAGTCGAAAGTCTTCCAAACTTAACTCGCAAAAAACAAAATCAGTTATGGATTATTCTACATGAAATTTAAATACACAGATCCCTATTATTAGCCATAACAAACAAGCATCGAATTCTACACTTAAAACAAACCGAATCCGAGAGGTATATATATAGATCAAACTTCTGCCCTGGTTGGAAAAGATTTCGCGAGGGTAAAGATGCACCTGTATTCGACACTCCCGTATTATTATAACCAACACCACCAGACCGTCCACTCATAAAATCTACAACAAGAATATTCTTATTTTTGAAACACTATGATCACTGGTAAAAAAAAAAAAACCAACATTACTTTTCAAAAATGACGTTACAAAGTAAACGATCATAATGCGATACAGCATCCCTTTAATGAATGTCCATGTATCGAAGCCCTGAAATATAAACCGGAGATATAAGGATTCCCATCTCTTTATCTCTCTCCTCCGTGATACAACCAAATCGCCATTCCAGAATAAAAACTAACAGAAAATGCTCAAGAAGGTTATATCGTGTTTAAAAAAGTACCCGTTGCTGCTCCGGATTAGCTGGAGCTTGGTCGTCGCTCCTAACGATCCCACCATCACTCATTTCAGTGTTCCCCGACATAATGCACAACCTGAAATACACAATGAATTGCACAAAGGAATGTGGAACATGGAAAAAATTTATTCAAGAAAATAGTGTGGATCTTTCCACTATTCTTGACCTTGCAATGATTTTCCATCTGTGCCTGAACTGCACGATTCCACTATTCCCCGATACTTCCGTAATTCTTGCAACTAAGATTCACTAAATTTCATTTTTGGTAGTCAAAGATGAGATCAATAAAGTTTAAATATCGGACGAATGCTCTTTAATTCTAAAATGAGAAATCACAAAAGGTGTTATGTAAGGTAGGAAAGGGCAAAAATCATATCATTGATGTGAAAGTATCTTACAAGGGATTGAGAAAAAGTGTAAAGAATAACATGCCACTATTATAGCAGAGAATAAGAGCTCCCCAGTATTAAGTAATGAAAGCGAGAGAAGGACAGAGAGAGAGGGAACAAGACTTTTGTGCAAATTACATTACAAATTCCATCATATTTCCATCCGCTCTCAACAGATCAGTAATGTTTCTATCTCTTGTCTAATGAATATTGATGACAACGAGCTGGGCGCAGTGCAAAACCTCAATCCCATTGACATTGAAATTGGAACGAAACCAGGACAAATTGTTTTCCATAAAACAAAAGGAAGGAAGTCTAGCGGACTTCTAACCACTTTCCATTAATTAAATTTCCAAATCAATATATGCTATAGTTGGGATCTCCAACTATACAATCACTATAACTCTCAAAGTTCAGTCAGTTTTAAATAAATTATAATACTATTAAATAATTTTGAATTACAGTTGATTAAATAATTTCGAGTGGCAGTTTGATTTTCGAATAGCAGTTGATAAAATTCAGGAAAATGAAGTCGATGCTTAAGGTAGAATGAGCTGCTCTATCGTAACTAAAGTACTTAAAGTTATTAATTATGTAGTCGTTTTGTCAGTGTTTTTAAAAATGAACAATATGTATAAATGTTGTAATATTACAAAATTACAATAATTATTTGTTCTAATATTCGACTTATCGATTTTATACTACTTTAGTTTTATTGATTGCTTATGTAATTACGACAACCTAATAAGGGAAGTATAACGATGTTTAAGTAGCATCATTTGATATGCTATCACAAACGTTTCATCATAGAATTGGCAGAAAGAAACCTGACAAAGAACAGCTTTCTTGATTGTACTTGAGATATCAGGTACAGTTGTCGTGAAAGAGAAAATGGAAATGGTATATGACAGTTTTATTGTCAATCAAATCATTGCAATGATACATTGATACAAGCTCATTGTTTATAACTGATGTAAGACTGTGTTGTGATGAGCATTTCTAGCATCAATATATTTATTAGTTAATTCAATTTATATTTATTGAATGAATTTATTTCAAAAGTTATAAATGAGAAACTTCAACAACTATTTTGATCAATAAATAATTAAATAAAGCAAGTGGGAGAAATGCTTTATTCACTTTACTAAAATCCATAAATGAGAACAATTAATAAATATCTCCATATCGCCGAAATCTTTTAAATCAAGCATGTATTTAAGAATGAATAGTTGGGCCTTATTTCCTATCTACAAAAAAGTTAATATAGTTAACACATGCAGGCTTTTGCAAAAGATGAATTCAAAATATAGTACTGTAATCACTTAAAGCTAAGCATAAAACCCATTTGTACATTGTAAATAGATATATTAGATAATTGCACCTAGAATTTCATTTGCTATTTAAGAAGAAATTTATAACCTTTCACGATTGAAATACCATGTTGTCGGCAAAAAAGGCCGAAGGTACTATTACGGTAACTAAAGAATGAATAGGGGGATTGTATATAGTGTATATAGGATCTTGTAGTTAATAAGGAACAAAGGAGGTCGCTAACAAAGGAGTCATCCTAACAAGCAACTAAGAGAAGGGAAAAGCATAATGAGACAATAGACATACAAAGGAAACGATGTGGATATTAAACCAGAACAAAGAGGGGTTGTCAGCGATATAAGGGGAGTAATTTCTCGATACGGATATTACATGGGGTCGACTAGTTGAAAAGCGGTGGTGTTAGGGCGCGTTTAGGTTGTCGCGAATTATAATTATGCGAAAACATCTATCTAAAATAATAAAGAATTTTAATAAAAATTAATCATTTTTAGTTTCATAATATCATAAACTAACCTCTTATGATTTATTACTCATGAGATTTTGAGTAAAATTTATTGTTAACATTTCCAATTCTTAACGCACATGATTTTATCTTAGACACGCCCAATCTTCACTTACATAAATTTAATTCTAATAAACAAAATTATTCATGGTCATTGTTGTCGACTACTACGGATTGGGCGTGTCTAGGATAAAAATCATATGTGTAAAGAATTGAAAGGGTTTACAACGAGAAGATTAAAATGAAAGCTAATTTCAATTTTACAGAAAAAGTATATGTGTAAAGAATTGGAATTGTTTACAACGAAAAGAAGAGATGATTTATGATAGTATGAAATAAGTTAGAAGTTTCTGCGAAATTATAATTCGCGACACTCCCAAAGGGGGAGAGAAATTGTTTTAAGAGGTAATTTTGAGAGAGTGATTTTGAGGTATATAGTTAAATGTATGGAGTTTAATAGGTGGGATTTCTTCTTTAGTTAGAAATTGAGTGTGTGGTGCTTCTATAGGGAGAGTAATGATGGTAGTTTGATTTGAATTTCGTTTTGAAGTACTACAAAGGAGAGATTGAACTAATTTAAATTTCCACTTAATAATAACTAAAATAGTTAATAATGTCACGATTATTATACAGATAAAAATCAATTTTCAATGTGTTATCAGGTTTTCAAATTCTTCTTCTATCGGTAGAACAATTTCACTGAATTCCCTTTCCATTTGTTTGATAATTTCTTCTCCTTCTTCAGAGATTTCTTGCCAAAAGAGTTCATCCTTCATCTGATGTGGTATTGAATTAATTGTTTTTTGGGTTTGAGTTAAGATTTCTAATTCAACGTTAATTCTTTCAATTTCAAAATTGCTTATTAAACTGCCTCTGAATTCGATATTTTTGATTGCTAGTCGTCCACATTTACAAGGAGTTACCATCAAATTTCCCTTAATTCTTTTAGCTATTACATCGTTTCTTTGAAGTATTAGTTTCGTGACAAGGGTAGGATTGCTGATTGATAGCCATTTGATCAAAAGTAATAGGTTATTTCTGTTTCGGCAACTTCTCTGCTGTGTTTCTTTGAGTTGTTGAAGGAATTCTTGTCTTAGTGAATCAGAAAGGTATTGAAGTTTTATGTTTTCAAGATCGTACTTTCTATCCGGAGACTTTTCCATCATCAATAGTTTATTTGTTACTCTTCGTTTAAATTTTGTAGTAGAGTTCGAGTCATCTTCAACGTCTAGTTCAATAACTATGTCGCCCTGCATTAAAATTGGAGAAGTGAATCTACAATTTTTGGTGTTTAATATAAGGGGGGGGGGGTTTATCAATTATAAGCGATGCTTGTATCTCATCGATGATGAAGTGGTTGTTATACTTTGTAGCCTTGAATCTTCCGATCTTTCGATGGATATAAACAATGATTGGTCGTATCATTGCTATTCCATATGATAATGCTAGTATTCGTTATGCATTCACCCTTTTGTGTCGAACAGTCTTTTATATCTTCAAGGTTAGAGACTAACCCTTTTCCATCGTAGAGGAGAATTTCTCCTTGAGTTAATATGAAGTTTGACGTTGACTGAAAGTTAACTCCTAACCATCCGTAGGAGTATTGTATTTCCTTATTCGTTATCCATTGATTAGGAGAAGATTGAATTAGTCCAATTCCGTTCATTTGTTTTCGAACATTTAAATATCTGCAGAATTGTGAGGAAGTAGTAGACGTATGGTCTGATACTACCGATAGTGATATTCTAAGAAAAGCTTTCGTGCATACAGTCCGTGTAATGTTGCTACATTTTATAGCTGGTATTCTTACATGGGTGCGTGTGTACACATTCACTTTGTGATATGTAGCATTTTTGTGAATAATTTCTTCACAATTCCATTTTTCAGGAATATTAAAGGGTACTCCAGTAATGCAATTACAGCTGTTGTTAGCTAATACCTGTCTTGGTATTAACGACATCATCGTTATCAATGATAAAGTTTTTATCAAAAGATTAGACTTGTCTTTTGCATCGACTGTAGTTTGTGATTTTTTAGCACTTCTGGTTCGTCGAGCAATGGGTTCTTCCGGTTCATCTTCCACCTTTTCTTCTTTATCTTCAGTAGCATCTATTTCCATAGGATAAAGCATATTTATTGATCGATCGAATTGTTTTCCATTCGGTAATTGTATTGTTGCACTCCTTATTTTTCCATCCCATCCTCGATTAATTTTTATTATCCTTGCAAATTCCATACACCACGAGGTACTTCTGGTTCATTTAGTAATACTATCTCATTTTCATGTGGTACTCTTTTTTCTACTATTCTAGGTGATTTTAATTCTCTTTGAGTGCGTTCTCTAAGGCTTGTAAGATATTCTTCTTTCCACAACTTCCAAAAGATATCTAATGTGGTAAGAGTAGTAGCCCAATACTTGACTAACTTATCTTTAGTCTTTATTGTATAAGGGGTATATTCATCTTGATCACTATCATAATTTATTGGTAGATCTAATGAAGCCATAGGTGATATAAAATCAATTGCACGAATGATTCTGTAGTCGTCAAACCCTACATAAGTTAATGGATTCTCTTTCCTTTAGAAGTTTTCTTCCTATTGCTCTTCTTAATGCCCTTTTTGTGAGTCCTATAAGTCTTTCATATACACCACCACTCCATGGTGCTCTTGGTGTAGTATTTTTCCATACCATACCCTTTGTAGCCAAAAAATTAGCGTTTTCTTCCATAATGGTTTTGAATACCAGTTGAAACTGGCTTGCATTATCGCTTAATATTAATTTTGGATATCCACGTCGAGATAAATCTTCTTAAAATATGTAAAAAATTCTCGGCAGATAAATTCTCCGCCATTTCTAGATGCACCGCTCTGGTAGTGAAGCACGTAAAAAGTGCTATCCATCTTTTGACTAGACCAATATTAGATTTGACTGAAAGAGGACCCATATAATCTAGGCCGACTTGTTCGAAGGTTCTGGATCGTTTTACTCGTGTTTCTGGTAAACTTGGCATCGCTGGCAGTTTAAACGGTTTAGCTTTCCAGCGAATGCAATAACAGCATAGGTTTATGATTCGTTTTACAGCAGCTCTTCCTTTCGGTATCCAATATTTTCGACTTAATTCAGATAACGTATGTGCAATACCTGCGTGATATAATTCATTATGCTTGTGTAAAATAATAAGATCAGTAATATAATTATGGTCCGGTAAATATATGGGATATTTGCTTTTTGTCCGTTAATTCTGAATTTTCCAGTCGTTAATTTCAATAAATTATCACTTTCATCTAGGTATAGATTCCATTTTTCCTTTTCGTCCTCCGTTAGCATTTGTGATTGGGCATGTTTGATCAGCATGGTCTCTGCTATATCGTAATCAACTTTAGTCATATATTTCTTTTTTACGGATAATGGTTCTAGCCACACTAATTTCTTTTTGCAGGTTTGTTTAATAAATCTAAAAGTCCAAACAGTTACTCGAATTGGTTTTGTCCAACTGCTGAAGCGACATTCGTCAATAAATTCAATTGTATCCCTTTTAAAGTTTGGGTTATCTTTGTCAAATTCAAAGCAATAGCTTCTGCAAATTCATCGTTTCCTGAATAGTGAAGTTTACACTTTGGCCATTCAGATTTCTTGAGTTCCAATCATCGAGGTCCTTTCCACCATTGTTTACAATTTTGGAGTTTAAGTGGTGATACTCCTTTGGTGGCTATATCTGCTGGATTTTGATCACTTGGTATGTATTTTAATTCGAAGTTAGATTTCCGTATTTCTTCGATGCGATTTTGTACAAATCTGGGAAGCAGCTTTGTATAGTTCTGGATCCAGTAAAGAACACATTTTGAATCTGTCCACAAAGTAACTTCATTATTTTCAAGATTTAATTGTTTCAATACGAATTGAGCTGCTCTTACTCCAATTAGTACAGATAATAATTCAAGTCTAGGAATTAACATACCTTTAATTGGAGCAATTCGAGATTTAGCATAAATTAAGAATGAATTCGAATATGTGTCTTGATATCTATGATTGAGAATATAAATAGCTGCAGAATAGGCAACTTTCGAAGCGTCAGTAAATATGTGGAATTCTGTTAATTGTGAAGTTTCCATTATAAATCTTGGCAGCTCTGTTATATTTGTTGGCCATTTTTTGATGAGATTTATCCACTGTTGAGGTAAAATTTACTCCTTCACCAAATATTAATGTAAATCTTCCTCATTTATCGCTCCCTACTTTCGATGGAGACCCTAGACAATGGCGACAATTTTGGAGCAGTTTTAACGCAGCAGTCCACACACAAGCGATTCCAGAAATACAAAAATTGAATTACTTGTACTCATGTCTTAAAGGAAAGGCTCTAGAAGCAATATCTGGATAATATCTGGATATGATATAGCTCCAGAGAATTATGAAGTCATCAGAAAACTGCTCAATGAAAAATATGGCGATCACTCAATAGTAGCAACATTACTATACAACGAACTCCAATCAATTAAACGAAATGAAAGAGAATGGATTGGAACAATTGAAAATATAGAACGAGTACTACGCCAGTTAGAAGCTTTAGGAGAAAGCCTCGACCACTCAAATATCGAAATTTTGATCGAGAGCAAGTTGCCATTATGGATATTAAATAAAATATATAAACATAAAAAGAAAGACATGTCTTGGTCAATTCTCAAACTAAGAAACTTTTTAACAAGTTTAGTCAATGTGAATGAACAGATTAGAAACTGTCAACATTCACTCACTTAACTCAATATTAAATCTACAACTACCAAACTGCAACAAAAACAACGATACAATCCCGGAGGAACTTCAGCATTGTCGACAATAAAAGATAATCGAAATACTTCGAAAACTACAACAACGAAAAGACGACCGTGTGTATTCTGCAATCAAGATCATTGGGACTGTGATTGCGTGATATGCTCGACTGAATCGTCTCAAGGTATTAAAGAAATGTACTATTTGTCTTAAACGAGAAATCAAAGAATTAAAATCAGGGCATATGTTGGTTCAATCAAAAGTTGGTCCTATGATTGCTGGAAGTGGAGATATTAAGAAGCTTTGCAAGAACGAATTATATCCTAAAGAAGTAGTATATTCTACGAACGCCAATATTAACTCGGAGCTAGGAAATTTTTGGAAATTAGAGACGATTGGTATCCAAGAATCACCTCAAGATGATTATGATGATCAAGCTTTAAAGCATTTCAAACGGACCATCATCAAGCAGGGTGGAAGATACCAGGTTTGTTGGCCATGGAAAGACTCCAGACAAAAATTAAGCAATAATTATGGATTATGCCTGGGACGATTGAAGAATTTGATCAATCGCCTACAACATAATTCAAATCTCCATTCATATCATCAAATACTTATGGATCAACTACATTTGGGTATAATTGAGGGGGGGTAAAATCTTAATATCTCCACTTCCAGCAATCATAGGACCAACTTTTGATTGAACCAACATATGCCCTGATTTTAATTCTTTGATTTCTCGTTTAAGACAAATAGTACATTTCTTTAATACCTTGAGACGATTCAGTCGAGCATATCACGCAATCACAGTCCCAATGATCTTGATTGCAGAATACACACGGTCGTCTTTTCGTTGTTGTAGTTTTCGAAGTATTTCGATTATCTTTTATTGTCGACAATGCTGAAGTTCCTCCGGGATTGTATCGTTGTTTTTGTTGCAGTTTGGTAGTTGTAGATTTAATATTGAGTTAAGTGAGTGAATGTTGACAGTTTCTAATCTGTTCATTCACATTGACTAAACTTGTTAAAAAGTTTCTTAGTTTGAGAATTGACCAAGACATGTCTTTCTTTTTATGTTTATATATTTTATTTAATATCCATAATGGCAACTTGCTCTCGATCAAAATTTCGATATTTGAGTGGTCGAGGCTTTCTCCTAAAGCTTCTAACTGGCGTAGTACTCGTTCTATATTTTCAATTGTTCCAATCCATTCTCTTTCATTTCGTTTAATTGATTGGAGTTCGTTGTATAGTAATGTTGCTACTATTGAGTGATCGCCATATTTTTCATTGAGCAGTTTTCTGATGACTTCATAATTCTCTGGAGCTATATCATATCCAGATATTATCCAGATATTGCTTCTAGAGCCTTTCCTTTAAGACATGAGTACAAGTAATTCAATTTTTGTATTTCTGGAATCGCTTGTGTGTGGACTGCTGCGTTAAAACTGCTCCAAAATTGTCGCCATTGTCTAGGGTCTCCATCGAAAGTAGGGAGCGATAAATGAGGAAGATTTACATTAATATTTGGTGAAGGAGTAAATTTTACCTCAACAGTGGATAAATCTCATCAAAAAATGGCCAACAAATATAACAGAGCTGCCAAGATTTATAATGGAAACTTCACAATTAACAGAATTCCACATATTTACTGACGCTTCGAAAGTTGCCTATTCTGCAGCTATTTATATTCTCAATCATAGATATCAAGACACATATTCGAATTCATTCTTAATTTATGCTAAATCTCGAATTGCTCCAATTAAAGGTATGTTAATTCCTAGACTTGAATTATTATCTGTACTAATTGGAGTAAGAGCAGCTCAATTCGTATTGAAACAATTAAATCTTGAAAATAATGAAGTTACTTTGTGGACAGATTCAAAATGTGTTCTTTACTGGATCCAGAACTATACAAAGCTGCTTCCCAGATTTGTACAAAATCGCATCGAAGAAATACGGAAATCTAACTTCGAATTAAAATACATACCAAGTGATCAAAATCCAGCAGATATAGCCACCAAAGGAGTATCACCACTTAAACTCCAAAATTGTAAACAATGGTGGAAAGGACCTCGATGATTGGAACTCAAGAAATCTGAATGGCCAAAGTGTAAACTTCACTATTCAGGAAACGATGAATTTGCAGAAGCTATTGCTTTGAATTTGACAAAGATAACCCAAACTTTAAAAGGGATACAATTGAATTTATTGACGAATGTCGCTTCAGCAGTTGGACAAAACCAATTCGAGTAACTGTTTGGACTTTTAGATTTATTAAACAAACCTGCAAAAAGAAATTAGTGTGGCTAGAACCATTATCCGTAAAAAAGAAATATATGACTAAAGTTGATTACGATATAGCAGAGACCATGCTGATCAAACATGCCCAATCACAAATGCTAACGGAGGACGAAAAGGAAAAATGGAATCTATACCTAGATGAAAGTGATAATTTATTGAAATTAACGACTGGAAAATTCAGAATTAACGGACAAAAAGCAAATATCCCATATATTTACCGGACCATAATTATATTACTGATCTTATTATTTTACACAAGCATAATGAATTATATCACGCAGGTATTGCACATACGTTATCTGAATTAAGTCGAAAATATTGGATACCGAAAGGAAGAGCTGCTGTAAAACGAATCATAAACCTATGCTGTTATTGCATTCGCTGGAAAGCTAAACCGTTTAAACTGCCAGCGATGCCAAGTTTACCAGAAACACGAGTAAAACGATCCAGAACCTTCGAACAAGTCGGCCTAGATTATATGGGTCCTCTTTCAGTCAAATCTAATATTGGTCTAGTCAAAAGATGGATAGCACTTTTTACGTGCTTCACTACCAGAGCGGTGCATCTAGAAATGGCGGAGAATTTATCTGCCGAGAATTTTTTACATATTTTAAGAAGATTTATCTCGACGTGGATATCCAAAATTAATATTAAGCGATAATGCAAGCCAGTTTCAACTGGTATTCAAAACCATTATGGAAGAAAACGCTAATTTTTTGGCTACAAAGGGTATGGTATGGAAAAATACTACACCAAGAGCACCATGGAGTGGTGGTGTATATGAAAGACTTATAGGACTCACAAAAAGGGCATTAAGAAGAGCAATAGGAAGAAAACTTCTAAAGGAAAGAGAATCCATTAACTTATGTAGGGTTTGACGACTACAGAATCATTCGTGCAATTGATTTTATATCACCTATGGCTTCATTAGATCTACCAATAAATTATGATAGTGATCAAGATGAATATACCCCTTATACAATAAAGACTAAAGATAAGTTAGTCAAGTATTGGGCTACTACTCTTACCACATTAGATATCTTTTGGAAGTTGTGGAAAGAAGAATATCTTACAAGCCTTAGAGAACGCACTCAAAGAGAATTAAAATCACCTAGAATAGTAGAAAAAAGAGTACCACATGAAAATGAGATAGTATTACTAAATGAACCAGAAGTACCTCGTGGTGTATGGAATTTGCAAGGATAATAAAAATTAATCGAGGATGGGATGGAAAAATAAGGAGTGCAACAATACAATTACCGAATGGAAAACAATTCGATCGATCAATAAATATGCTTTATCCTATGGAAATAGATGCTACTGAAGATAAAGAAGAAAAGGTGGAAGATGAACCGGAAGAACCCATTGCTCGACGAACCAGAAGTGCTAAAAAATCACAAACTACAGTCGATGCAAAAGACAAGTCTAATCTTTTGATAAAAACTTTATCATTGATAACGATGATGTCGTTAATACCAAGACAGGTATTAGCTAACAACAGCTGTAATTGCATTACTGGAGTACCCTTTAATATTCCTGAAAAATGGAATTGTGAAGAAATTATTCACAAAAATGCTACATATCACAAAGTGAATGTGTACACACGCACCCATGTAAGAATACCAGCTATAAAATGTAGCAACATTACACGGACTGTATGCACGAAAGCTTTTCTTAGAATATCACTATCGGTAGTATCAGACCATACGTCTACTACTTCCTCACAATTCTGCAGATATTTAAATGTTCGAAAACAAATGAACGGAATTGGACTAATTCAATCTTCTCCTAATCAATGGATAACGAATAAGGAAATACAATACTCCTACGGATGGTTAGGAGTTAACTTTCAGTCAACGTCAAACTTCATATTAACTCAAGGAGAAATTCTCCTCTACGATGGAAAAGGGTTAGTCTCTAACCTTGAAGATATAAAAGACTGTTCGACACAAAAGGGTGAATGCATAACGAATACTAGCATTATCATATGGAATAGCAATGATACGACCAATCATTGTTTATATCCATCGAAAGATCGGAAGATTCAAGGCTACAAAGTATAACAACCACTTCATCATCGATGAGATACAAGCATCGCTTATAATTGATAAACCCCCCCCCCCCTTATATTAAACACCAAAAATTGTAGATTCACTTCTCCAATTTTAATGCAGGGCGACATAGTTATTGAACTAGACGTTGAAGATGACTCGAACTCTACTACAAAATTTAAACGAAGAGTAACAAATAAACTATTGATGATGGAAAAGTCTCCGGATAGAAAGTACGATCTTGAAAACATAAAACTTCAATACCTTTCTGATTCACTAAGACAAGAATTCCTTCAACAACTCAAAGAAACACAGCAGAGAAGTTGCCGAAACAGAAATAACCTATTACTTTTGATCAAATGGCTATCAATCAGCAATCCTACCCTTGTCACGAAACTAATACTTCAAAGAAACGATGTAATAGCTAAAAGAATTAAGGGAAATTTGATGGTAACTCCTTGTAAATGTGGACGACTAGCAATCAAAAATATCGAATTCAGAGGCAGTTTAATAAGCAATTTTGAAATTGAAAGAATTAACGTTGAATTAGAAATCTTAACTCAAACCCAAAAAACAATTAATTCAATACCACATCAGATGAAGGATGAACTCTTTTGGCAAGAAATCTCTGAAGAAGGAGAAGAAATTATCAAACAAATGGAAAGGGAATTCAGTGAAATTGTTCTACCGATAGAAGAAGAATTTGAAAACCTGATAACACATTGAAAATTGATTTTTATCTGTATAATAATCGTGACATTATTAACTATTTTAGTTATTATTAAGTGGAAATTTAAATTAGTTCAATCTCTCCTTTGTAGTACTTCAAAACGAAATTCAAATCAAACTACCATCATTACTCTCCCTATAGAAGCACCACACACTCAATTTCTAACTAAAGAAGAAATCCCACCTATTAAACTCCATACATTTAACTATATACCTCAAAATCACTCTCTCAAAATTACCTCTTAAAACAATTTCTCTCCCCCTTTGGGAGTGTCGCGAATTATAATTTCGCGAAAACATCTATCTAAAATAATAAAAAATTTTAATATTAATTAATTAATCATTTTTAATTTCATAATATCACAAACTAACCTCTTATGATTTATTACTCATGAGATTTTGAGCAAAATTTATTGTAAACATTTCCAATTCTTAACGCACATGATTTTATCTTAGACACGCCCAATCTTCACGTATATAAATTTAGTTCTAATAAACAAAATTATTCATGGTCATTATTGTCGACTACTACTCTGTTAACCAATATCAATTCCTCCGATCTTCTTTATTATAAGTTTCTTCTCTCTTTTTACTGCTCTGTTTATTAATACTACGTTTGCAAAAAATAAATGCTTATTAATCTTTCTACTGTATTGCAAACAATTCGAATATCAACCAACAAACCTTTCGCGACATAGGTCGCGTTAGAGGAAAACGGTTAAAACGACGCGTAAGGGGGATTAGTTCTTAGTAAACCAATAGGACAACAACGGGGTTTAATTACCCAACTTTGAGGTAAAAAACAATCGACGACAACAACAGCAGTTTACTTATCCAAGTAGAGTATTAAACGACGTGAATTACGAAATGACGAAGAAATTCAACGGGTGGAGAAATACAACGGCAAGCACAGATATTCTGGCAATAAACAACGACGTACAAGCAAACGACAGTTACGACACTCAACGACAATTCAAGGATCAAGAAGAAAAGGGGAAGAAAACAACAATAGTCAGCTCGACCAGTTCTACTGATAGTACAACCGAAACGATGAGAAGAAACGTGATAAAATTATAATTTAAACAGGAAACAATTATATAAAAGGAATCGTCTCTTATCAAATAAAGGTTGAAATATTCTTTTTTTTTTCCTACCAAATTTTAATTATCTGGATGTGGGACGATGATATGACTTCTTGTTCTGAATGATATTGGTCCATCATCTAGCGTCGTGATTTTTTCTGACGTTTTCATATTCCGTTTATCTTTCGTGCTTCCTTCGCTCTTAGGACATTCTTTTTATCTTCTTCAGGCATTTCCGTTTCATTCGTGTCTTGTAATTCCAGTGGGTATAATAAGTTTATGGGTCCTATAACTATATTTCCGTTTTCTGTCTCTTTCCCTTTTTAAGCCTATTATTTTTGCTACTTTCCAAATTCCTCGTGGAATTCCTGGTTCATCTAATAATACAACTTCGTTTATCCGTGGTGTGTTTCTGGCCGTACATTTTGGGTGAACATGATTTGCTTAAGCCCTTTCTCTCAGTGTGGCTAAATATTCTCCTTTCCATTTGTTCCAAAAATGTCTAAAGTTTTGAGTGTATTTTTTTAGCATTGTATAAGCTTCTGTCGTAAATTTCTTCTAGCAGGATTGTATTCATCGTCGGTAAAAATCGGTAAAATTAATGATGCATTTGGAGAGATAAAATCAACTGGTCGTATGGGTTTAATGTCATCTGAGTTTACATATGTTAAAGGGCGTGTATTTAATACGCCTTCTATTTCTATTATTAACGTTTCCAGGTCTCTTTCTTGTAGTAATTTTCTTCCTACCGCTCTCCTAAAAGTTTTCTTAGTTAAGCCTACTAACCGTTCATATAATCCTCCACACCATGGAGCTCGAGGCGTAATGCTTTTCCAATGATTTCCTTTCTTTGCTAACAATTCGTTGACCTTTGCATATTCCTGAGTGAATACGGTTTGGAATTGAAGTGCGTTGTCACTGATAATTTGGTGTGGATAACCTCGTCTACTAGGAAATCTTCTAACAATGTGCATAAATGTTTCGGCTGATAGGTCTTCGGCAATCTCCAAATGAATAGCTCTCGTCGTAAAGCAAGTAAACAACGCAATCCATCTTTTAGCTGTACTTGTATTTGATCTTACTGAAACCGGTCCGAGATAATCTACTCCAATGTTTTCGAAAATTATTGACCTTTTCACTCGCGTTTCTGGTAAATTTGTCATTATCGGCAATTTAAAAGGTTTTACTTACCATCGTTTACATACATGTAACACTTGTTTAAAATTCGTTTTACTTCAGATCGGCCTTTTGGGATCCAATAACTTTTCCTGATTTCTGATAGCGTATGTGCTACTCTGGCGTGAAATCGTGACTCATGTTTATATAATACAATAAGCTCTGTAATAGCGTTGTGTCTTGATAAGTAAAGTGGATGTTTCGTTTTTTCAGGCAAAGATGAATTTTCGAGTCGACTAGCTGATCTCCACAATTTATTTTCATCGAGATAGAGGCTTATCTTAGTTCCATCTTTTCGTCGAAATTTTCATGTTGAACCTGCTTTATTAAAATCCGTTCAACTAGTTTAGAATTATAAACTGTTATGGGGTTGCCAACATCCGATAATAGTTCAATCCATTTGAATCTATTTTTTGTGATTCGTTTAATGAATCTTAATGACCAGATCGTATCCACTTGCTAAAGCGACTGGTATTAATTATTTGAAAGGAATTGTTACCGTTTTGGTTTGTTACTGCTTCTATTGCAATTTCTCGAGCTTCTTCCTCTTCGTGTATATTATCGTCTAAATTTTGGTAAGTCCAATTTGGCCAACTTTCTTCATTCATTTAACCAATGTGGCCCATTCCACCACAATTTCTGGTATTTTAAATCTTCTGGCTTAATTCCTCTTGCTGCTGGATTGGTTCTACTAGGTACATATCGAAAGGAAAACTTTGATTTCCTTATTTCTTCTACTCGATTCTGTATAAATTTTGGCTGCAATTTCGTACAATTCAGTATCCAATGTAAGGAACATTTTCAATCTGACCAGAGAATTGTTGGGATTCCTTCTAATTCTAATTGCTTCTTAACAAACGTCGCTACTCTTACTCCAATTAAAGCACCCATCAATTCAAGTCGCGGTACTGTAATAACTTTTATTGGAGCGAGTCTTACTTTTGAAAATATTAACGATGTTTTTCTTTCATTGCCGTCTTTTAGTTGATATATAAACTGCTGCTGAATAAGCAATAGCTGAGGCGTCTGTAAATACGTGCATTGTGAGGTCGTCGTTTGTTTCCATAGTTTCTCGGGGAATGTTTTTGATAAAGTGTGGCCATTCTTCAATAAGGGATTGCCATTGTAGTTATTTCCTTTTCTTTCCAAGATTTGAGCTCTATTGTAATTGTATCATTGTGATAATCCCAAGGAATACCAAGAATTTTAATCTTCCTTTTTAAACTTCTCGTCTTTCGGTACATAAACGTTGAACTCTTCGTTACTGGATAGAAATCCTCGAATATTCATAGATGCTTCACTAAATATTTGTTTCACTTCTTGATATTTCTTCAAGCTTCTTCTGCTGTAGCTGATGATATCAAAACGTTGTCTACGTATAAGTTCTTCTTAATTTCTTTGGCTAACTCATTCCCGTTGATTTCTAAGTGATGATTCAAAGTCGCAGAAAGTAGAAATGATGATATTATTCCAAAAGGGACTCTCTTGAACCGGTAGCATTTGACGCTGGTGTTTTCCATTGGTTTTTCTATGTTACGTAGCCATAAAAATCTAGTGCAATTTCTATCAATTGGTTTTAATTCAAGCTGTAAAAACGCCTTTTCTACGTTTACTACAATAACGTTTTCCATCATCCGAAATCTTAGCAATACTTCACAAAGATCGGGAAGTGTGGATAGTCCACGGTATAATACGTCGTTTAAACTTTTGTCATTTTTCAAATGGGCTGAAGCGTCGTATACCGCTCTAAGCTTCGTTGTTTCTTTGTTAAGTGTAAGAATCTCATAATAACACTGGTTTGTCTCGTAGTCTTGCTATAAGTGATCTAAGTCTTCCTAAACATAACCCATAATGACTTTTAAGATTTACCGTTGTTTCTTTCCACGGCCAGCTAACTTGATATCGCCCATTATATTTACTGACGCTTCTTTTGAATTGAGACGATGCCTTGTCATCGTCCGTTGTTTCTGGTTCTTCTTTCACACCAATAAGTTCTAATTTCCAAAACTGATCGATACCTGGTACATTGCGGCGAATAGTTGCGCAAACAATTGCCGTTTCCACTTGCGTTATATTTGAATTTACATTGTTAATTTGACCATAACCTGCCACAATTGGTCCCACTTTCGTCTCCACTAAGTAAAATCCCGAATTTATTCGTTTGGATTTACTTGGTTCCATGAAATTGAAAAACTAGTTAGCTCCGATAAGTAAGTCCGGTTTTTCCCACTCACCATGGAGCTCTTTTATTTGTTCGAGATTCTGATCAGGAAGATCCGCTACTTGCAGGTCGTTGGTAAGATGGTCAACTGTACTGACTTCCATCTGAATCGTTTCCTCGTTGCTTAATCTGATTCCCACTACCGTCTTCATCGTTTGAAATTCTATGAGTCTTTCCTTTCGAAATCCGGCTAAATGAAGAATTTCACTTTTTCCTTTAATTCGCAATTGGTTTGCTAAGTTTTTCGACATGAATGATAACTGTGATCCTATGTCGAAAAATGCCAGTACTTTAGCTTTGATTCCAAGTTTTTGTGGATTTACTACTGCTACTTCTCGACAAAGTAGTAAGACGTTGTATTTCGTTTGTATGTTGCGATCTGCTAAACCGTTGACTGCTTTTACTTCTTCTCTTTGATTTATATTTGTAACCGCCTTTGATTTGTTTTGTTGTGATTGATCCCTTCTTTGGAAAATGTGGTACAAGGCGAAATTGTGATTTTGCTTACAGTGCTTACAGTGTTTTGATTTGTCTTACAGTTTCTTGTGTTATGTTTCACTTTTAAACAATTTCTACAGGCTTTTAGAGAGTTTAATTTTGCAAGGCGTTCTTCCAAAGTTGTATATTTTCGGCATTCGTCGTCCCAGTGAACTCGATTGCAAAGTGCACAAGGTCTTGACCTTTTGTTAGAATTGATGTTTTGATTTGTGGTTTCCATTTGAAATTGTATTGTCGGTATTCCTGTTGTTCCTCTTAGTTGATTGAATTAAATTCTTCTGTTGCACGTTATTCTTGCATCGTCTGGATTCTTTGGTCCATAAAATTTGATTAATCGTTTCTCTTCGTTTCACAATAATTTCTACGAATTGTCGAAGCTTACTGACAGACCAATCTGGGTCTAGCTCCTTCCGTTTGTATACTTCATCGAGTACCCATCGAGGTAACTTTTCTTGAATAGTCAGTTCGATACTCGTTTGTTCTACGTTTTCACCTAAGTTTGTCAGCTGCCTAAGAGACAATCTTTCGATTGTCTCTATTGTTGTTCTCAAATCGCGATCATT